CTGAGTTTTCACAGTTTTTACTGGGATTTTACTGGTTTGGAACTGGTTTTAATAGGGTTTTTACTGTTTTTAACTGGTTTTGGTAGGTCTGAACTGGTTTTCAACTGGTTTTACCTGCTTTTTACTGGTTTTTACTGGTTTGGATTGTTTTTGTTACTCTCTTCTGGGCTGTCCTGGTGTAAAATTCCCCTTTTTCCCTGGGATCAGATTTTTCCCATTCCTGTTTGACCTCCCAATTAAAACATTCATTTCCCCCCAAAAAAATCACTTTTTAAAAAATTATTCCTTTGAAAATCCAAATTCCCAAACCTCAACCCAACAAATCCATTTGGGAACGGGAAAATGGGATTTCCTTGGAATGGGGGATGTGGGAGGAGGATTTGAAATTGGATTTTGTTGGAAATAAGCACAAGTGGGAGTTGATTTTTCATCCCAGCCCCCTGAGCTCCAGGTCCCATCAAAACTTGGATTTCCAGGATATTTTAAAGGATATTTTTGATCCAAGGCCTTGCAGGAACTCCAGGAATTTTCCAGAATTCATGGAATAACTCCGAGTCCTGTTCTGGGAGGCAGAATTTTGGATTTTCCTGAAATTTTTCCTGAGTTATTAAGAATTGGATCATTTTGCTCTAATTGCAGTTAAATATTGGGGTATTTTTGGGAATTGTTTTCAATTATTATTATTATTATTATTATTATTATTATTATTATTATTATTATTATTGTATTTTTGGGAATTGTATTACTATTAAAACTACTACTATTATTCAGTATCATAATTATAATTATAATCATTATTATATTATCATCATTATTATTTTCATTGTCAGTTATTCATTACTATCACTATTAAATTTATTCTTATTTTATTTTTTATCACATTATTTCTATTCCATTATTTTTTATTCCATTATTTTTTATTCTTTTAATCCATAATCCATAGATGACTGAGGTGGGTTTTATTATTAAACCATGTCTAACAAAGCCAGGTTTTAATCTTTACAAAGCCTCCACTTAATTTATAGGCAGGGCTGGCTATGGACACAGAATTTTGGGGTGATTTTCTCAGATTTCTCACTGAAAAATCCCAAAAAAGCCAAAACCTGAACAGAAAACCATCCCCAGGTGATTTTTTTTCCTAAATAATTTTGGTTTTTGCTCCAAAAAATTCGGATTTTGGAGTCCTGAGCCTGAGACATCCTCACCATCTTACTGGGCAGCATTGGATGATCTCAGCCTTTCTAATACTGCCTGGTAATGATGATGATGGTGTTTCCTGCACTCCGAGGGAATCCAGCAGAAACCTGGCACTGGGGCTTAGTCCCAGCTTAAAGTTCCAGTTTAGGGCCCCAAGCCCCTCCCAGATCAAAGCCAAGCTCTGAGTTCCAGGCCGGGTTTGGGGTGGGCTGGGAAATCTCAATTCTGGGTGGGGGAAATCCCCTGGGATGAGCCTGGCTCAGGGAAAATCCACGGATCAGGGGCTGCAAAAATGGGAAATATTCCCCAAAACTGTGGGAATGCCCAGGTGGGGAAAGGAGCAGGGCAGGGATTCTGTGCCAGAAATGTTCCCCAGGGAGCCCTGGCATTGCCTGGTGCTGCTGAGCCAGGCTTAACCCCCGTTCCTCTTTCCTGTGTTAAATCAGGCTTAACTTGGTGGGTTTATTCTGGATCTGTACTAAAGCAGCCTCAATTTCATCTTTCTCTTTCAGAGCTGTATCAGATTTAATCTCATCTCTCTCTTTTAGATTTTCATTGAGTGAAGTTTAACCTCCTTTTTCTCATTTAGATCTGTCTTAACCCCGTGTTCTCATTTCACATCTGTACTAAACTAGACTTAACCTCATACTTTTCTTTTAGAACTGTGTTAAACCAGGCTTAACCTCCTCTTTCTCTTTTAGACCTATACTAAAATAATCTGACCAGTACTAAGTCAGACTTAGCCTCATTTTCTCTATTACCTCTCTTTTAAATCAGGCTTAACCTCCTGTTTCTCCTTTAAATCTGTGTTAAATCAGATTTTAACCTCATTTTCTCTTTTAGCTCTGTCTTAAACCAGGCTTAACCTCCTGTTCTCTTTTCCATCTCTCTTAAATCGCTTTTAACCTCACATTTCTCTTTCTGTCCTGCCTTAAACCAGCCTTACCCCCTATTTCCACTTTAAACCCGAATTAAATCCCTTTTTAAGCCCCTTTTCCCCCCAAACCCCCCCAGTTTCCACCCCTCCTTCCCCACTCCCCTCTCCTCGCACCCACGGCCGATCCCGAGGAAGTGAAGCCATTCCTTGGTTTTTCCTGGAATTCTGAGCCCCGAAGAACCCGGAATTGCTGCTGGGCGCGCTGGTCCTCTGTGGGCATCTTACTAGACAGTGCTGGATTTTCTCCTCTACTCTAACACTGTCTGGTAACGATGTTTAAAGGGAGATCCAAACCACTCCAGGCCCAAAATTCCAGCCAGGACCTTTTCCACAGGGTAAGGATGGATCTGGGGAGGATGGGGAGGGCTGAGCCAGGGAAAATGGGGATTTAAATCAAAATATTCACAGACAAATGATGGAGGTGCTGCTATCCCAAACCCGGGGTTTATCGTCAACAGTATTCAAAATTAAAATTACAATTCCAATAAATTTTAAATTCTATTCAAAATTAAAATTACGATTCCAATAAATTTTAAATTCTATTCAAAATGAAAATTCCAGTAATTCCAGTAAAATGGTTGCAGCGCGGAGAGCTCGGGAGGAGCTGCCCCAAGTCCAGGTTTGTCCTTGTCGGTTGAAATTCCCAGGAAAAGCGGGAGAGGAGGAAGCAGGGGGTGATTAATTAAGGCCGGGTGTTAATGAGTAACTGCTGGGGAGGCCCGGAGGAAATGGGGGAGGAATTCTGGGAATTGGAATTTAACGATCCCATAAATCCCGGGATGGGGCCCAGCCCCCCCAAACCTGGCCCTGGGAAAGAAACCCCAAAAACCCAGGGGAACGTTCCAGAGGGAAATCCTTGGGAAAAACAAAGGGATTCGGGAAAATCCCACTGCCCTGGTGGGGAAAAACCAGGAAAAACCCTGGAAAATTCCCTTTTTCTTGGAAAATTCCCTTTTTCTTGGAAAATTCCCTTTTCCTTCCATCCTCTCCCTTTTCCCACTGAGTTCCCATTTCCTCAAATCCCCCTCACCACCACTGCTGGGATTTGGGGTTATTTAGGACCTTTCTGGGGTGGTTCAGGAGATTTTTGGGATGGCTGGGAGCTTTTAGGGATAGTTTAGGAACTTTTTGGGGTGGTTCAGGACCTTTTTGGGGGTGCTTTAGGAGCATTTTGGGGTGGCTCAGATTTTTTGGATCGTTAGGTCCTTTTTGGGGTGATTCGGGAGTTTTTGGGATGGTTTAGGAGCTTTTGGGGTGGTTCAGGAGCTTTTTGAGGTATTCCAGGAGCTTTTTGGGATGGTTTAGGAGATTTTGGGGTGGTTCAGGAGCTTTTTGGGATGGTTTAGGAGCTTTTGGGGTGGTTCAGGAGCTTTTTGGGATGGTTTAGGAGCTTTTGGGATGGTTCAGGAGTTTTTGGGATGGTTTAGGAGCTTTTTGAGGTATTCCAGGAGCTTTTTGGGATGGTTTAGGAGCTGTTGGGGTGGTTCAGGAGCTTTTTAGACCTGAATCCTAAAACCAGTGCCTCAGCAAGGAGAGTTCATGGATGAGGGACATCCCGGGTTTTCTGGAGGCCGCCCTGCAGGATTCCTCTCCTGGTAAGTCCTTCCAGCCGTTCCCAGTTCCGTCCTTTTCCCTGGGCATTCCCTGGGGTGCAGCTCCGGGGTTCCCTGGGGTGCAGCTCCGGGGTTCCCTGGGCATTCCCTGGGGTGCAGCTCCGGGGTTCCCTGGGCGTTCCCTGGGGGCAGCTCCGGGGTTCCCTGGGCGTTCCCTGGGGTGCAGCTCCGGGGTTCCCTGGGGTGCAGCTCCGGGGTTCCCTGGGCGTTCCCTGGGGTGCAGCTCCGGGGTTCCCTGGGCGTTCCCTGGGGTGCAGCTCCGGCGTTCCCTGGGGTGCAGCTCCGGGGTTCCCTGCGGTCGGTGCCGTCCCAGGCCCGGCTGCTCTGTCCAAAACCGCCCCGGTAACGTCACCACAGCTGCGGTTCTGCCCCCGGCGCTTCGGGCACCGATTCGGGGCAGAAATGTGAAGAAAAAACCCCCAAAAATTTCATTTTTATCGGAAGAACCCAGGAGTTTTCGTATTATTTTAGGCGCTTTCGGTGGGGCAAGAATGCCAGGAAAAATTCCCTTGAGAGGGAGAATTCCTGGAATTTCACAGCTGGAATTCATTTGGGAGATTTTTGTCACTGTTTTCATGGCGAAAATGTGGAGAAAAGTCACACAAAATCCATTTATTAGAAGAATTTATGCATTTTCGTATTAATTTGAGGCATTTTAGGCACTTTTGTCCTGGTGGAAATGTGGGAAAATTCCCTTGAGCAAAAGAATTCCTGGCAAAATTCCATTTTCATGGATTGCAGGAACAGATCTGGGTTGTTCCAGGGGCTTTGGGTGATAATAGGGAAACAATTCCCAGATTTCCAGAAAAGCAGCGCTGCCTTTGAGCTGGGGCTCAGACTCTGGGAATTCTCCAGGGAATTCTCCACTGATTTATCCAGGGAATGTTGGTCAGCCTTGAATTCCCTCTGGAATTCTCCTTTCCAGCCTCTCCCTCTGCTGCCAGAGGCTTGGGAAAAGGGGAAGTAAAGCCGGGCTTTGGATGGAATTCCATGGCTTTTTTTGGGATGTTCTTCCCATTCCCTGATCCAGATCTCTGCTCCTGGAGGAGGAATTTTGATTCCCCAAAAATGGGATTTTTTTTTTCCTCTTTTTTTCCTTTCCTGAGAGGTTTTCCTGTGAGCCCAAAGATGGTTCTGTTCTCTCCAGGTTTGGGATGAAATTCCAAAGGGGAGAAGGAGGCTGGGATTCCTCAGGATTGTGTTGGGAATGAGGCTGGAAACCCCAATCAAATAAAAACCCCAAAAGCAAAAAGTTTGATTCAAATGAATTTTTCTTTGGAATTTCCCAATTTTTCCCAGGGAATCAGAAACCTCCCAGAGCAGCTTTTGGGGTCTCTGTTCCTGCAGGAATCCCCAGCTGTGACCCCGACCCCAAGTCCAGGGAAAGCTGCTGGAATTCCCGGGAGCCTCTGGAATGTTCCAGGGAGGGATTTTCCCAAATTTCTGATCCCACCCCGCCCTTTTCCATTCCCAGTGTCTGTCCCTCCCTCCCTTGCCCCATTCCTTCTCCAGGGGAACATTCCCAGAGCTCCCAGCACAAACTCCAGGGATCCTCCAGCAGAGGTTTAAATCCATGAGCAATTCCTCTGAAATCCCAGGGATTTCCATGGATTTCCACTGAGAAACCAAGATTTCCATGAGAAACTCGTCCTGGATTATCCCTAATTATCCCTAATTATCAATAGCTATCAATACAGATGTTGGCACTGGCATCTCCACAGGGAGCCAGCCCAAAAAAATTCCAAACATCAAAAATCTTGGAATATCCAAAGTGCAAAGGGCCCCACAGGGATCGGAAATCCCCAAATCCCACCTGGGAGCGTTTGCCAGGATTTTTTCCCATTTCCTCCATTTTTTCCAGAGCTCTGACCAGTCCCTGGATGAGTTCACTCCCTTCTTTTCCTGATTTTCCTTGGAAATGTTCCAGGAAAATCCCTGGTGGCACAGGAGGAGCTTCCCAAGGGAATCTTTGGGTGGGAGCGGGAATGGGGTTGGGAGAGGCTGGAATGGGGTTGGGAATGACCCAATGGGGCAGGGCTGGAAAACTGAGGGAAAATCAGGAAATGGAGGAAAAGCAGGAGATGAGATGGGGGAAAACCAGGAGATGAGGGGAAAACCAGGAGATGGAGGAAAAGCAGGAGATGGAGGAAAAGCAGGAGATGATGTGGGAAGAGCAGGAGACAATGTGGGAAGAGCAGGAGATGACGTGGGAAGAGCAGGAGATGACGTGGCCGCCGTTCCCGCTCCTGAAAATCAGGATACCCTGTGCAATCCCTGCTCCTCTCCTCCTGAACCGCCCCCAGCAGGATTTATCCCGAAATTCCACTTTTTTTAGGGAAAACCAACCCCAAAGCCCTGAGCCCCCCCCGTTTCCCAGGCAGAAGCTGCCGGGTGGGGTTTGGGGATCCCAGCCCGGCGTTCCCGGGGTCGGGGCCGATCCCTCCCCATCGCGTCCCTATCGGAGCTCGCTGTAGACCCTGAAGGACAGCACCGAGAGCTTCTCCTCGCTCTTGTCCCCGTGCTCCTCCTCCGGGAATTGGATGCTGGAGGATTCCAGCGCATTCGGCGGCAGCCGCGGGAAGGTCGGGCCCGAATCTGCGGCTGGGAACGGGGAAAAGTCAAACTCAGCTCAGGAAAACCCAGCTGGAAAAACCTGCCCCAAATCCCAGAGGAAATCCGGATTTATCCCACTGATTCCATCCTTTTATCCCATCCAGATTTTATCCCATTCAATCCCAGATTCTACCTATTCAACCCCAGGTTTTATCCCATCCATTCCCAGGTTTTATCCCACCATTCCCAGGTTTCATCCCATCCATCCCCAGGTTTTATCCCATCCATCCCCAAGTTTTATCCCACCATTCCCAAGTTTTATCCCATCCATCCCCAGGTTTTATCCCATCCATTCCCAGGTTTCATCCCACCATTCCCAGGTTTCATCCCACCATTCCCAGGTTTTATCCCATCCATCCTCAGGTTTTATCCCATCCATTCCCAGGTTTCATCCCACCATTCCCAGGGTTCATCCCACCATTCCCAGGTTTCATCCCACCATTCCCTCACCCCCGAGCAGGAGTTTGGGGTCCCTGTGGAGGCTCCAGATGCAGAAGTGCAGCAGGAACGTGAGCAGGACGAGCACGAACACGGCCGCGGCCACCAGGATGGCCAGGATGGTGCTGGAGGGGAATTCCAGCGCTACCGGGGCTGCAATTAACGGCGCTTCATTAACAATGAACGCATTCCGGGGCTGGGGGTGTTCTGCCAAGGGAGATCTTCCCAGGGAGTTCAGGGATGGATTTTGGGGTTTTGTGGGAAAGGGGAGGTGGGAGAGGATCTGAGGTGAGGGAGTTGTGGGATGGGATGGAAATGGGGGAAAGGGAAAAAGGGAAAAGGGAAAAGAAAAAGGGAGCAGGGAAGGAAATGAAAAAAGGAGAAAAGAGAAGGAGGAGGAAAAGGAAAAGAGAGGGAAAGGGAGAAGGGAAAAGGAAAAGGGCAAAGGAGAAGAAAGGGAGCAGGGAAGGAAATTTAAAAAGGAGAAAAGAGAAGGAGGAGAAGGAGCAGGAGGAAAAGGAAAGAAGAAATGGGATGAGGAAGAGGCAAGGGAAGATGGAAGGGAAAGACGGGAAGGAAGGAAGAGGGAAGAGGAAATAGGGAAGGAAGGGCAAGGGAAGAGGAGGAAGGAACAGGAGGAGGCAGAGGAGAGGACAGCAGTGACAGCCGCTTCCCGGGAGCGTTTCCAGGCTGGGCACGGCAGGACAGGGAAGGGCCCGGGTTTGGGGTTGGGGTTCGGGTTCAGGGTTCGGGATTTTGGGGTTCGGGGTTCGGGATTTTGGGGTTCGGGTTCGGGATTTTGGGGTTCAGGGTTTGGGATTTTGGGGTTCGGGTTTGGGGTTCAGGGTTTGGGATTTTGGGGTTCAGGATTTTGGGGTACCTGGCTGCAGGGCAGGGCCGCGCGGGCCGCACACGGAGTCGTGGGTGCTGTTCCCCTCCCGGTGCGTGACGGAGCCGCGGCTCTCGCAGCTGGGGAAGGGCGAGCTCGGCACCCCCGAAATTCCCATTCCCTGCCGCCCTCCCCGCCCCGCGCCTCCCTCGCCTCTTCCCCACCCCGCACTTTGGGCCCCTTTGTTTTTCCATGGATTTCCCTGCTGGGAATAATTTTTCTTGACTTTAAGCTGGGAGTTTGGCTTAAGCTCTGCCTTGAGACTAAGAAGAGAAATGCCAGGTCTTGCTTAATTAAAAAATTAATCAATTAATCGTATGATCACCATCTTGGACTCAATTTGATTTTCTAATGGCAGTATTGAATATATTAATTGGTATTTCAATATGAATTGGTATTATATTATTATAACTATTACTATTATTATGATATTCTTCTTATTTTTATTCCCTGATTTCAAAGGGGGAAAAAAACCCAGTCTATTTTTTTTTCCCAAATAAGGGGAATATCAATAAACCCATATTCAGCCCAATCTTATTCTCATTATTAATATTAATATTATTATTTCTATTTTCAAAGAAGGAAAACACATTCCTAGCAATAATTATGGATTAGTGATTATTGATTATTGGCTGCTCCATACTTGGTCCAGTTGTGGCACCAGCCGTTCCCACTGCTGGAGAAGGTGCCGTTCTCGCAGGGTTTGCACTCAAAGAAGAAATTCAGACTTCCTGCAGGGAAAAGGGATGGGAATGGCTGAGATCCCAAATGTGGGACAGCCAGGGCTGCTCCTCATCCCTGTCCCATTCCCATTCCTTGCCCTCTTCCCTGCCCCATTCCCTGCCCCATTCCCCGCCCCATTCCCTGTCCCATTCCCGTTCCCTGCCCTATTCCCTGCCCCATTCCCTGCCCCATTCCCCGCCCCATTCCCTGCCCCATTCCCTGTCCCATTCCCATTCCCTGCCCCATTCCCTGTCCCATTCCCGTTCCCTGCCCTATTCCCTGTCCCATTCCCAATCCCATTCCCAGTGCCATTACCAATCCTGCTGAGCTCCCAGCCAGACTGGGACCGGGGCAGTTTCCTGCAGAACTGGCAGGGCTCATCCCCATTCCCTGCCCCATTCCCTGCCCCATTTCCTGCCCTATTCCCTGTCCCATTCCCTGCCCCATTCCCTGTCCCATTCCCATTTCCTGCCCTATTCCTGTTCCCTGCCCCATTCCCAGTCCCATTCCCATTCCCTGCCCCATTCCCTGCCCCATTCCCAGCCCCATTCCCATTCCCATTCCCAATCCTGCTGAGCTCCTGCCCCGCTGGGCACGGGGGCAGTTTCCTGCAGTACAGGCAGGGCTCAGCCCCAGCCCCATTCCCATCCCCAATCCCATCCCCATCCCCATTCCCATTCCCGTTCCCATTCCCATTCCCGTTCCCATTCCCATTACCAATCCTGCTGAGCTCCTGCCCCGCTGGGCACGGGGGCAGTTTCCTGCAGTACAGGCAGGGCTCAGCCCCAATCCCAATCCCATCCCCGTCCCCATTCCCATCCCCATTCCCAGCCCCATTCCCGTTCCCATTCCCAGCCCCGTTCCCATTCCCATTCCCAGCCCCATTCCCGTTCCCATTCCCATTCCCATTACCAATCCTGCTGAGCTCCTGCCCCGCTGGGCACGGGGGCAGTTTCCTGCAGTACAGGCAGGGCTCAGCCCCAGCCCCATTCCCATCCCCATCCCCATTCCCTGCCCCAATCCCAGCCCCATTCCCATTCCCGTTCCCATTCCCATTACCAATCCTGCCGAGCTCCTGCCCCGCTGGGCACGGGGGCAGTTTCCTGCAGTACAGGCAGGGCTCAGCCCCAGCCCCATTCCCATCCCCATCCCCATTCCCGTTCCCATTCCCGTTCCCATTCCCATTCCCGTTCCCATTCCCATTACCAATCCTGCTGAGCTCCTGCCCTGCTGGGCACGGGGGCAGTTTCCTGCAGTACAGGCAGGGCTCATCCCCAATCCCAGCCCCGTTCTCAGCCCCATTCCCAGCCCCATTCCCGTTCCCATTCCCGTTCCCATTCCCGTTCCCATTACCAATCCTGCCGAGCTCCTGCCCTGCTGGGCACGGGGGCAGTTTCCTGCAGTACAGGCAGGGCTCCCCGGAGCAGCTGTACCCCGGGGGACACCGGCAGTCCAGGTCCGGAGCCTCACAGGGCGCGGGGTTTTCTGCGGCAGGGAAGGGGTTAATGCTGCTGTTCCCTACAAATTCCCTTCCAAAGGAATTCCCGTTCCAAAGGAACTCCCAGAAACGGGGAAGGGTCTGGAGCAACCTCCCATTGCAGGGAAAGAGACTTTTCCTGGGAAAAGGAATCCCAAAAATTGTCCTTCATATTCCCAGGGAAAGAGAGACACAATTACAGGCATTTAGCCCCATTTACACACAATGCACACCAATTTACACACAATTTACACGCATTACATACAATTACACACAATTTACACACAATTTATACACAATTACCCACATTTACACACATTACGTACAATTACACATAATTTACACACAATTTATACACAATTACCCACAATTTACACACATTACATACAATTACACACAATTTACCCCATTTACCCACAATTTTCACACAATTATCCACATTTACCCATGATTTACACACAATTACCCACATTTACACACAACTACCCACATTTACACATAATTCCCCCCATTTACATGCAATATTCACACAATTACCCACATTTACACACAATTTCCTCCCAATTTCCCCCCAGTTTCCCCCATTTCCCCCCAGTCCCCTCTCACCTGCCTTCCAGGTGCACTTGGGGCAGCACTTGGTGTCATCTCCCCAGACCAGCCTGAGCTCCCCATCCCGGCACTGCCCAGCCTGGCCCGGCCCCGGCCAGAGCGCGGCCAGCAACGCCAGCAGCAGCCACAGCCGGGCCCTGGCCATGTCCTGGCAGTGCCACCAGAGCAGTGTCACCAGGCAGTGTCACCAGGCAGTGTCACCCCAGCAGTGCCACCCCAGCAGTGCCACCAGGCAGTGTCACCAGGCAGTGCCACCAGAGCAGTGTCACCCCAGCAGTGCCACCCCAGCAGTGTCACCCCAGCAGTGTCACCCCAGCAGTGCCACCCCAGCAGTGCCACCCCAGCAGTGTCACCCCAGCAGTGCCACCCCAGCAGTGTCACCAGGCAGTGTCACCCCAGCAGTGCCACCCCAGCAGTGCCACCAGAGCAGTGCCACCCCAGCAGTGTCACCCAGCAGTGTCACCCCAGCAGTGCCACCCCAGCAGTGTCACCCAGCAGTGCCACCAGAGCAGTGCCACCCCAGCAGTGCCACCAGGCAGAGTCACCCCAGCAGTGTCACCCCAGCAGTGTCACCCAGCAGAGCCACCAGAGCAGTGTCACCCCAGCAGTGTCACCAGGCAGTGTCACCCCAGCAGTGCCACCAGGCAGTGTCACCCCAGCAGTGCCACCCCAGCAGTGTCACCAGGCAGTGTCACCAGGTCCCTGTCACCCTGCGGAGGAGGCGCCGGGGTTTTTGTGGCCGAGCTCTTCCTGTGTGTTCTTTCTGGGGGGGCGGGGAGAAGGTTTGGGTTCAGGCTGAGGTGGGGGCAGGAAAAGGGGTGGCCCCCCCCAAAAAATGGGGTTTAGGGCCATGGAGGGTTAAAGGGGTGACATTGTGGGGTTGGGAATGGGTGAGCTGGGAGGGAAATCAGCTCATGGCAGAGAGCTCCTGCTGGCCCGGGCACTGCAGGGATGGGGCAGCTGGAAATGCTCTGGGGATCCCAGCCATGGAGTCACCCATCCATCCCTAAAATCCATCCATCCATCCCTAAAATCCATCCATCCCTAAAATCCATCCATCCCTAAAATCCATCCATCCATCCCTAAAATCCATCCATCCGTCCCTAAAATCCATCCATCCATCCCTAAATCCATCCATCCATCCCTAAAATCCATCCATCCATCCCTAAAATCCATCATCCATCCCTAAAATCCATCCATCCCTAAGATCCATCCATCCATCCCTAAAATCCATCCATCCGTCCCTAAAATCCATCCATCCCTAAATCCATCCATCCATCCCTAAGATCCATCCATCCATCCCTAAAATCCATCCATCCCTAAAATCCATCCATCCATCCCTAAAATCCATCATCCATCCATCCCTAAAATCCATCCATCATCCATCCATCCATCCCTAAAATCCATCCATCCCTAAAATCCCTCCATCCATCCATCCATCCATCCCTAAAATCCATCCCAACTTTCCCTAAAACCCATCCCAATCATCCTCTTTCCCTGAAATTCATGCCAGCCACCCTCTGGGGAGAACCTTGCCCTAAACCCCATCCCAACCTTTCCCTCTTTCCCATCCCAACCCAACCTTTTCTAAACCCATCCCAACCTTTCCCTAAACCCCATCCCAACCATTCCCTAACCCGCTCCCAGCCCTTCCCCTCCCAGCTGCCGTCTCTCACTCCAAAACCACCAATTTAATTCTTTATTTCTCCTTTTTTTTAAACCCCTTGGGGATTTTTTCTCTGCTCTTTGTCGGGTTTTGCCCTTTGAGGCACCTGGCCCCGTCAGGTGATGGAACTTTCCGCTCACATCCGAGGCCGAGCCGCTCCCGGAGCTCGGAGGCAGCGCTGACCTTTCGGATTTATCGGATTTATCGGATTGATGATCGGATTTATCGGCCCCGTCATCTCCCTGCCTCGCCTGCGGGGTTTTCTCGGCAGCTCCGCCTCTGGCTGCTGACATTTCCCTTCAGCTGCTCGGGGCTCGCACGCTCAGCTCAGCTCAGCCCAGCTCAGCCCAGCTCAGCTCAGCTCAGCCCAGCCCAGCCCAGCTCAGCCCAGCCCAGCTCAGCCCAGCTCAGCCCAGCTCAGCCCAGCCCAGCTCAGCCCAGCCCAGCCCAGCTCAGCTCAGCCCAGCTCAGCCCAGCTCAGCCCAGCCCAGCCCAGCTCAGCCCAGCTCAGCCCAGCCCAGCCCAGCCCAGCTCAGCCCAGCCCAGCCCAGCTCAGCCCAGCTCAGCCCAGCTCAGCCCAGCTCAGCCCAGCCCAGCCCAGCTCAGCCCAGCTCAGCCCAGCTCAGCCCAGCTCAGCCCAGCCCAGCCCAGCTCAGCTCAGCCCAGCTCAGCCCAGCTCAGCTCAGCCCAGCTCAGCCCAGCTCAGCCCAGCTCAGCTCAGCTCAGCCCAGCTCAGCTCAGCCCAGCTCAGCCCAGCCCAGCTCAGCCCAGCTCAGCCCAGCCCAGCTCAGCCCAGCTCAGCTCAGCCCAGCTCAGCCCAGCTCAGCTCAGCCCAGCCCAGCTCAGCCCAGCTCAGCTCAGTGCCCTGCCCTGCCCAAAAACCCTTCCCCTCTCTGGGCTGCAAACCTGGGGTCTCCACAGGGAAAACCGTGAACAATCTGACACTCCCAGAAAGCTGAAGTGACACTCCCAGAAATCCCAGACATTCCCAGAAATCCCAGACATTCCCAGAAATCCTCACCCCAAATCCATCAAAACCCCGGGATCCTTCCCAAAAACTCAGTCAACACACGCCATGAAAAGGTTCCCCTCTTTGGGCTCCAAAAGGGGAGACTCCATGAGGAAAATTCCAAAAAATCAGAGCATTCCCAGAAAGCTGGAGTGAAATCCTCACCCCAAATCCCCAGAAATCCTTCCCAAAAACCCCACTGAAGCCCTGCCTTCTCCTAGGGAAAAATCTCCTTTTTTGCTTCCAAATTTGGTGACTCCAAGAGGAAAATCCCAGGAAATCTGAGCTTCCCAGGAACCCCAAATCCATCAAAACCCCAGAATCCCTCCCAAAAGCCCCACTGATCACAGCCCTGCCTTCTCCTGGGGATCAGGGCAAATTCCAACCCCAAATTCCAAACTGGGATGGAAAAGGGAGAAAAATGTCCCAGATCAAATCCCTTCTCCACACCCTGGGGTTCCCAAACCCTCAAGGATGGGATTTGGGAAAAATCCAAGGATTCCCGGAGCTCTGTCCATGAGAACATGGGCATATCCTCATGAATATTCCTCAAGGGATTTTTGAGGAATTTGGGGCTGGAGCCAGATGAGGGTCGGGTTTTGGGATAGGATGAGGGGAAATGACCTCAAATTGTGCCAGGGATTGGGATTTCCTCACAGAAAAGGGTGGAATTCCCATCCCCGGAGGTTTCCAGGCACTTCCTGGATGTGGCCTCAGGGTGAGGATCACTCTGACCCTACTGAGCTTTCCCAACCCCAAGAATTCCTGGGAATTCTCCTGTGCCCACATCACCCCCATCTCCCCCTTTCCTGGAGCCGCCCAAACGATGAGATTTGGGAGAAAATAAAAAGAAACTACCCCAAAACAAAGAAATCACCCCAAAATAAAGGAAACCAACCCCAAAAAAGGAACAACCCCCCAAAATAAAGGAAACCAACCCCAAAAAAGGAACAACGCCCCAAGAAAAGGAAACCAGCGCTGGGAGCTCACGTCAGCAGCCCCGGGACGGTGTCAGCCGCGGTTTTGGTTTCCTGACGCTGAATTTTTGCTGATTTTCTTCTGATTAGGGGAGAAAAGAAACCCCGAGCTCGTCCTGCCGTGACAAAGTCGCTCACAGGGGGGTTTCAGAGCTCTTAGGCCTGGCTTAAGCCCAGCAAGGCCCAGCTCTGCCATGGTTTCCGCCCCCCATGGTGGAGTTTTCGTTCCCACCTTGGGAGAAATCCGTGGATGTTCCCATTCCCAGGAGTTTTGGAGGGAAAATCCCCTGGGCTGGGGGATCAAGGTCCCTTAGGCTGGGCTCAGAGCCCTTTAGGCCTGGCCCAGACGGGACGGGGGCGCCCGGCACCCCAGGAAAGGTCGGAGCTGAGGGAGAGGGGAAGGGCTGGGGGAATCTCCATGGAAAGGCTCTGGAAATGTGGGAATTGTGGCCAGCGGGGCTTGGGAAAAATGGGATTTTCTTCCCTCAGAATTGTGATTATTACCCAAAGAAAAATGGGATATTTTCCCCACAGAAACACAATTATTGTCCAGGGAAAACGGGATTTCTTTTCCCTCAGAATACAGTTAGTATCCAAAAGAAAAATGAGATTTTTTCCCCCTCAGAAATACAACTATTATCCAGGGAAAAATGGGGTTTTATCCCGCAGAAATACAATTATTATCCAGGGAAAAATGGGGTTTTATCCTGCAGAAATACAATTATTATCCAGGGGAAAATGGGGTTTTATCCTGCAGAAATACAATTATTATCCAGGGAAAAATGGGGTTTTTTCCCCCCCTCAGAAATGCAATTATTACCCAGGGAAAAAGGGGATTTTTTTTTTCCCCTCAGGATTGTGATTATTATCCAAAGAAAAATGGGCATTTTGTCCCCCAGAAATACAATTATTACCCAGGGAAAAATGGGATTTTATCCCCCAGAAGTATAATCATTATCCAGGAGAAAAAAAAGGGATTCTTTTCCTCCCAAGATTGCAATTATTATCCAGGGGAAAATGGGATTTTTTCCCCTCAGGAATGCAGTTATTTTCCAAGGAAAAATGAGATTATTTTCCCCTCTGGAATACAGTTCTTATCCAAGGAAAACTGGGTTATTTTCCCCTTCAGAAATGCAATTATTACCCAGGGAAGAATGGGATTTTTTTCTCCTCAGAAATACAATTATTATCCAAGGAAAAATGGGATTTTTTCCCCTCAGGAATGCAATTAGTATCCAGGGGAAAATGGGATTTTTTTTTCCCCTCAGAATACAACCAGTATCCAAGGGAAATTGGGATTTTTTTCCACAGGAATACAAATGGGATTTTCCCCCCCAGGAATGTGATTATTATCCAGGGGAAAATGGGATTTTTTTTTTCCTTCAGGATTTTGATTATTATCCAAAGAAAAATGGGAATTCCTTCCCTCAAGGATGCAGTTATTATCCAGGGGAAAAAGGGATTTTTTTCCCTCAGAAATACAATTATTATCCAAGGAAAAATGGGATTTTTCCCCTCAGGAATACAATTTCTATCCAATATAAACCTGGAGTTAAATCCATCCCAATCCCAGGATCCCTCCCCAACACCCACCCTGTCTTCCCCTATGGAAAATTCCCATTTTTTGCTCCCAAATTTGGTTTCTCCATGAGGAAAATCCAAAAAAATCCAACATTCCCAGAACCTCCAATGGAGAATTCCCCTTTTGTGCTTCTAAATTGGAAAAATTCCCCTTTATTTGGTTCAAGACTGGGTGTGTCCATGAGGAAAATCCTAAAAATTTGGAATTCCCTAGAAGGAAACCTGGAAAAAACCCTGGAAAAAATGGGGGAAAAAAAACCAGAAAAAAAAAAACCTGTAAAAATCCTGGGGGGAAATGGAAAAAACAGCAAAAAATGGGAAAAATACAGGAAAAAATCCAGGAAAATGCAGAAAAAACCTGGAAAAATCCCAAGTCTGGCCCCCAAGCATCTCCTGTGAGGTTTTTTTTCCGCTTCTGGTGGCAAAATTGAGTCAAAATTGAGTTCAGGAGATAAAAAAATCTGGAGATAACGGCAACGGAAAATTCGTCACCGGGAGAGCCAAAAAAGGCAAACACACAAAGCAGGAAGTGAAGATAAAAGAAAATTTATGATCTAAAGGAGGATTTTAAAAGAAATTAAAATGATTGCTGCTGGTTAATTAAAAATTAATTAGGAATTATTTTCTTCTTGGAAAATGAAGGGAAATGGTCAATTTGTAGATGGGAAGGTTTGGCAAGAAGGGGAAAATTGAATTTATTTGGATTTTTTTAGGGTGGTTCAGATGTTGTTAATTTTGGTTCAGTTTTTATCCAAAATTGGAGAAATATGGGGGATTTATTTGGAAGGTGAAGGGTAAAATATCCAGGGGAAAATGGGATTTTTTTCCCCCTCAGGAATGTGATTATTTGTTGTTGTTTCCAAGGAAAAATGGGATTTTTTTACCACAGGAATACAATTATTTTCCAGGAAAAAATGAGATTTTCCCCCCTCAGGAAATCACAGATTATTATCAAAGGAAAACTGGGATTATTTTCCCCTCAGGAATGTGATTATTTGTCATTCTTTTCCAAGGAAAAAGGGGATTTTTTTCCCTCATGAATGTGATTATCACTCAAGGAAAAATGGAATTTTCCCCCCTCAGGAATGTGATTATTATCCAAGGAAAACTGGATTATTTTCCCTTGGGTATGTGATTATTTGTCCTTTTTTTTCCAAGGAAAACTGGGATTTTTTTCCCCTCAGGAGTGTGATTATTTGTCATTTATTTCCAAGGAAAAATGGGATTTTTTTCCCCTCAGGAATGTGATTATTTGTCCTTTTTTCCAAGGAAAAATGAGATTTTTTCCCCCTTAGGAGTGTGATTATTTTCCAGGCAAAAATGAGATTTTTTTTTTCCCCCTCAGTTCTTATCTAGGGAAAAAGGAGGTTTTCCCCCTAAGGAATGTGATTATTATCCCGGGAAAAATGGGATTTTTTTTTCTCCTCATGAATAAGATTATTTATCATTCTTTTCCAAGGAAAAATAGGATTTTTCCCCCTCATGAATGTGATTATTATCCCGGGAAAAATGGGATTTTTTTTTTCCCCACAGGAATACAGTTCTCATCCAGGGAAAAACTGGATTTTTTCCCCTCAGGAATGAGATTATTTGTCTTTTTTTTCCAAGGAAAAATGGGATTTTTTTCCCCACAGAAATACAACTATTATCCAAGGAAAAATTGGATTTTTCTTCCCTTCAGGAATGTGATTATTTGTCATTCTTTTCCAAGGAAAAAAGGGGATTTTTTCCCCAAGGAATGTGATTATTATCCAGGGGAAAATGGGATTTTTTTTCCCTTCAGGAATACAATTCTTAACCAGGAAAAAATTGATTTTTTTCCCCCAGAGGAATACAGTTCTTATCCAGGGAAAATTTGTTTTTTTCCCCCTCATGAATGCGATTATCATCCAGGAAAAAAATGTGATATTTTTCCCCTCAGGAATGTGATAATTATCCAGGGAAAACCAGGAATTTTTTCCTCCTCAGGAATGAGATTATCTGTCATTTTTTCCAAGGAAAAATGGGATTTCTTCCCCCTGATGAATGGGATTATTATCCAGGGAAAAATGGGTTTTTTTCCCCTCATAAATGCAATTATTATCCAGGGAAAAATTGGATTTTTTTTCCCCCCTAAATATAATTATTATGCAGGAAAAATGTGATTTTTTTTTTTCACCTCATGAATGTGATTATAATCCAGGGAAAAAATGAGATTTTTTTTCCCCCTCAGGAATATGATTATTATCCAGGGGAAACTGGGATTTTTATTCCCTGAGGAATGTGATTATTTTCCAGGAAAATATGGGAGTTTTTTCCCCTCATGAATGTGGTAATTATTCAGGAAAAACTGGGATTTTTCCCCCTCAGGAATATGATTATTATCCCGGGAAAAATGGGATTTTCCCCCTCAGGAATGTGATTATTTGTCATTCTTTTCCAAGGAAAAAGGGGATTTTCCCCCTCAGGAATGTGATTATTACCCAAGGAAAAAGGGGATTTTTTTCCCCTCAGGAATGTGATTATTTGTCATTCTTTTCCAAGGAAAAAGGGGATTTTTCCCCCTCATGAGTGTGATTATTACCCAAGGAAAAGGGGGATTTTTTTCCCCCTCAGGAATGTGATTATTACCCAAGGAAAAAGGGGATTTTTTTCCCTCATGAGTGTGATTATTACCCAAGGAAAGATGGGATTTTCCCCCTCAGGAATGTGATTATTACCCAAGGAAAAAGGGGATTTTTTTCCCCCTCAGGAATGTGATTATTATTTGTCATTTCCCAGGTGGATTTTCAAACGACAAAGTTCAGCTCATCCATCCCAGCCTTGCCCTAAACCCAGCCCAACCTTTCCCTAAATGTCCCCCCTCCCTTCCCAGGCTCTCCCATTTTCCTGGAATTTCCCTATTTTTCCCCAAACACACACCAGGATTTGTTTTTCCAGAATTTTATTCCCCCAAATGCCCCTTTGTACACGATACAAACCTTCCTATACATTGTATAAACCCCTTTGGATATGTATAACATATAAAGAAAATCCCACATCTTCCAAATCCATGGATTTAAACACCTCTGGGATCCCTGCATCCATTCCCTGCTGGATGTTTTGGGATATTTTGGGATATGGGTTTAAAATTCCCATTTTTTGAGGAGTTTTCTGCTGATAGTTGGAGGGAAAATCTCTCCCAAATGATAAAAAAATCAATTTTTCTGGAATTTCCAGGGAAACATTTCAAATTCAGCAAAAGGACACTTCAGGCTCCTCCCAGACATTCCAGAGTTTGGGATTTGCTCCCAAAAAATCTCCTGTCCCAATTTGTGGGAATGCAATTAGAGAGGAAAAATTCATTTGGTGAAGTGTGGATTGACTTAATCCTGATTTAGAACTCAGCTTTGTCACTTGATCCTGGTTTGGTTTTTTTAGAGCTCAGATCTGCCACTTGATCTTGATTTCAGAGCCCAGCTTTGCCATTTAATCCTGATTTCAGAGCCCAGCTTTGCCATTTAATCCTGATTTCAGAGCCCAGCTTTGCCATTTAATCCTGATTTCAGAGCCCAGCTTTGCCATTTAATCCTGATTTCAGAGCCCAGCTTTGCCATTTAATCCTGATTTCAGAGCCCAGCTTTGCCATTTAATCCTGATTTCAGAGCCCAGCTTTGCCATTTAATCCTGATTTTAGAGCCCAGCTTTGCCATTTAATCCTGATTTTAGAGCTCAAGGATTTGCCCAAAGGGAAAAAAAATCCACAGAAAATTTCCTCAGGAATTCTCCCAAATTCCAAAGGGAGATCTTGAGTTAATCAAGTAGTTAAACCAGCCTCCAATTAACTCCTAATTAAGCAAATCCTAATTATCCCCAGCGCTCCCTGGGCTCAGAAGAGCAGGACCAGGCCAGGGTGGGAGTTCTGGTGTCAGTTTTTGATCAGGCTGGAGTTGGAATCGATCTGCTCCTCCTGGATGGGAATCCTGCAGCTCCTCTCCTCTGGAAAACAGGGAATGGTCCCAGGGGTGAGAACAGGAGGGGACAGGACTGAGCCTGATGCTAGAGCTCAGCTTTGCCCCTAAATCCCGATTTTAAAACTCACTTGTGCCACTTAGTCCCGATTTTACAGCTCAATTTTGCCACTTAATCCCGATTTTAGAGCTCAGCTCTCCTCAGCCAGACCTTTCCCACGTTTGCAGGAGAATTCAGGACATTTCAATTTCCATGGAGGCAAAAAAAAATTCCCATTTTACTCTTGGAAGTTGCTTCTGGATCCTGCCAGGAAGAGAATTCCTGGCCTAAAATCAGGGAATTCCAGGATCAAGGGAAAATCAGGGAGAAGGAATGAAAATTTGGGATAATGAGCTCCTAATCAGCTCCTAATCCTAACCTGGATCAACCTCTGGAATTCTCTGCATTCCTAATTAAGAATTCTTTTATTAATTCCCAAATTTCTATCAGGGGGCCCTGGTTAATGTTTGTCCTATTTTTTTACCCCATAAAAAGGGAACTCACTGTGCTGGGTGCTCCTCCCAGGCCCATTCCTGGTTTTTTTCTGGGCTGCCTGGATGATCAGGAGCAGGATGGAAATTCCACTCACCATCAGCAGGAGCAGGCACAGCAGGAGCAGGGATAAAGAGCCTGGAATTAGAATGGGAAAATTCCCTAAAAAACAAAGATTCCTGGTTCTGGATGGAGTTCCCAGATTCCAGAGGGAGAATCCAGAACTCTGGGAATGGAGAGGTCCAGGTGCCAGGGAAGTGTGGGATCCTGGAATGTTTGGGAAATGCAGGAATGGCTTTAGAGAAATTGGGATTTCGCTTCCCAGGAAAGCAGCTTTACATGGAAACCAAGAAGCTGGAAATGTGGGATCCTGGAATGTTGTGTGAAATACAGAAAAGAATTCAGAGAGAGTGGGAATTCCCTTCCCAGGAAAGCAATCCCAGCTGGGATTGTGGGATCCTGAAATGTTCTGTGAAATTCAGGTCTGGCTTTTGAGGAAATGGGAATTCCCTTCCCAGGAAAGCAGACTCAGATTGAAACGTGGGATCTTGGAATGTTGTGTGAAATATGGAAGAAACTTCTAAGAAAATGGGAATTCCCTTCCCAGGACAGCAGACTCAGATTGAAATGTGGGATCCTGGAATGCTGTGTGGAATACAGAAGAGGACTCAGAGGAAGTGGGAATTCCCTTCCCAGGAAAGCAGACTCAGAGGAAATACGGGATCCTGGAATGTTGTGTGGAATACAGAAGGGGACTCAGAGGAAGTGGGAGTTCCCTTCCCAGATTGAAATGTGGGATCCAGGAATGCTGTGTGGAATACAAAGAGGACTCAGAGAAAATGGGAATTCCTTTCCCAGGAAAGCAGACTCAGAGGAAACGTGGGATCCTGGAATGCTGTGTGGAATACAGAAGGGGACTCAGAGGAAATGGGAATTCCTTTCCCAGGACAGCAGACTCAGAGGAAATACGGGATCCAGGAATGCTGTGTGGAATACAGAAGGGGACTCAGAGGAAGTGGGAGTTCCCTTCCCAGGAAAGCAGACTCAGAGGAAATGTGGGATCCAGGAATGCTGTGTGGAATACAGAAGGGGACTCAGAGGAAGTGGGAGTTCCTTTCCCAGGAAAGCAGACTCAGATTGAAATACGGGATCCTGGAATGCTGTGTGGAATACAAAGAGGACTCAGAGGAAGTGGGAATTCCCTTCCCAGGCCAGCAGCCCCCAGAGCTCCCTCCCTGCCCGTGCTTACCCCACGCAGGCTCCGTGGCACCGCCGGGGTCCCGACAAACCGCGGGGATGTCCCTGGGGCTGCCTGCCCTGGAGCTGTTCTCAGGGAGTCCCGTGGGAGAGGGGTCCCTGTTTTCTGGGAATCCCGTGGGAGAGGGATCCCTGTTTTCTGGGAATTCCACAGGAGAGGGATCCCCGTTTTCTGGGAATTCCACAGGAGAGGGATCCCCGTTTTCTGGGAATTCTGCAGGAGAGGGATCCCCATTTTCTGGGAATTCCACAGGAGAGGGATGTGGGCCAGGGCTGCTGGCACTGCCAGGGCTGCTGCTGCTGCTGCACTGGGCGTCCTCTGTGCCCGTGCCAGCCCGGAGCGTCATCCTCCCAACACTGCTGCAGCTGGAAAAGAAATTCCAGAGGGTCTGCCAACAGGGAATCGTTCCTAAATCCCATCCACACAATCCCAACCTGTGTTTCAGCCCTACAGATTTAGGGTTTTATGCCTACATCCCACAGGAATGGGAGGAATAATTAAATCATAAAAAATGATCTGGGATTTTTTTCCCAGCTGATTCTGGCACAGGAATTTTTTGTTCCCAAAAAAACATCCAAGAGGTTTTAAAAAAAGGTGAAAAATCCTAAAAATCCCTCAGGATCCTAAAAATCCCAAAGGATGGGATTCAGAGCACTTAGATCCAGGTTTATTTCAATTTATTTCTCTGGATTTGGGTTTTTCTTGGAAAAATGAACCCCCCAGAGCTGCTCTGAGCACTTTGCCCCCAAAAAGAAATTTTTGCCACTACAAGGGGTTTTTCCTCCCAAAAAGGATTTTTTTCCCCCCAAAAGGGATTTTTTCCCTCAAAAAAGGATTCCTACTTGGTCCAAGGCTGGCAGTTCTTGTTCCCTCCTCTGGAGAAAGTCCCTTCAGGACATCGGGAGCACTCTGGGGGGAAAAAGGGATTATCCAGGGAAGTGGCAGAATTCCCAGGTTCATCCACTGGGTAATTCTGAATGATCCAAGATTATTCATTCTGGATATTACCCAGGAGGATCTCACAATTCCAGCCAGGAACTGCCACATGGGAGGCAGGATTTTGGGAAGGGTGGCAGATCCCAGAATTCCAAAGGGAATTCCAGCTGGTACATGCCTGGACTCACTGCTTCCCAAGGGAGTTCCAAATCCCAACTCACCCCTTCCCAAGGGAATTCCAGATCCCAACTCACCCCTTCCCAAGGGAATTGCAGATCCCAATTCCCTGCTTCCCAAGGGAATTCCAAATCCCAATTCCCTGCTTCCCAAGGGAATTGCAGATCCCAACTCACCCCTTCTCAAGGGAATTCCAGATCCCAATTCCCTGCCTCCCAAGGGAACTCTGGCTGGCTCAAATCCCAACTATTCCCAAGGGAATTCCAAATCCCAACTCACCCCTTCCCAAGGGAATTCCAGATCCCAATTCCCTGCTTCCCAAGGGAACTCTGGCTGGCTCAATTCCCAACTCTTCCCAAGGGAATTGCAGATCCCAACTCACCCCTTCTCAAGGGAATTCCAAATCCCAATTCCCTGCCTCCCAAGGGAACTCTGGCTGGCTCAATTCCCAACTCTTCCCAAGGGAATTGCAGATCCCAACTCACCCCTTCCCACAGGAACAGCCCCCGCAGGCTGGAATCCGGCCTGGCACGCACAGACCCTGTCTGAGGTTTTCTCACACGGCTTCACCTCCACGCTGCCCTTCCCTGGCCAAGGCAGAAATTCATTAATTCCTTCATTAACAGCAACAATTAACTCCTCAGGGGTTTGGGGGTTTGGGTTTAGGAGCTGCAGAATTCAGCAATTTAACAATTAATTAGTGATTCGTAATTCATAATTAATTTAACAACTGAATCGTTCAACAATTGCGTTCGAGGACAGTGATTTTCAGGTAGGCCCTCACAACGAGATGGAAGCAGCCAGAAAAGCACCCAAAAGGGGATTTTTTTTCCCCCAAAAAGGCATTTCTTTTTCCCTCAAAAAAGCAATTTTTTTCCCCCAAAGAAGGGATATATTTTTCCCCAAAAATTGGGATTTTTTTCCCCCAAAAAGGGATTTTTTCCCCAAATCCCAGCACTCACGGGCGTTGCAGATGGTGCAGCTTTTGCAGAAGCCGTGGTGGTGCTGGGAGCTGAAATATCCGTCCTGGCATGGCGAGCACACGGTGTCGGCCGAGGCCGTGCAGCGACTCCGCATCCTCTCCCCTAAAAACACCCAAAAATCAACACCCAAAAATCAACATTCGGTGGGGTCCTGAGGGGGAAAATCCTAAATCTAATCCTTTGGGACCAAGGATTGGCCGGGGTCGTGAGATGAAAAATCCTAATTTATACCCTTTGGGAACAAATCGGGATTGGTTGGGATTGTGAGGGGAAAAATCCTAAATTTCATCTTTTGGGATCAAACGGTGCCCAGAATTTGGCAGTTCTTGCTTTTTATTAAGGAGAAAAAGCCCTGGAAGTTTAGCCAGGAGGAAAAATCAACATTTAATGGAGCGGCTGAGAAGGGCTGGGGAGGGCTGAAATTGGGGAAAATGCCCCCAATTTTTGTCCCAGTGGATCCCAAATATCCCTTCCAGAGTCAGAGGAAAAGGTTTAGGAAATGCCCCTGGACTGAGGCATTTAGGAAGCAGAAAAACATCCAAAAAAGTTAAAAACCACTCTCAAAAGGAAGATTTTTCCAATTTTGAGGTTTAAAACTTATTTTTATTAGTCTAAAAAGTATTACACTAAAAAATAGGTATTACACTAATAAAAAAATTCGGTATTTCCCTAAAGCCCGGTTCTCCCATGCCAGCCCCCGCGGCGGGCACTCACCTGGGGCACAGTCGCTGCAGCATTTGTCATGGAAGCTGTATTGGTGCTCCTGGCATTCCAAGGCCAGGGAGCCGGAGATAGGCACGGCCAAGAGCCAGCAGAGAGCGGGAAAATTCCAGGGAATCCTTGGAAGCGCCATTCCCGCCATCCCCCTCAGGGAGCTGTTCCCTCACGGCACCGGCACCGGCACCGTTCCCTCACGGCGCTGTCCCCTCAGGGCGCCTTTGCCCTCACGGTGCCTTTTTCCTCCTCACGGCGCTTTTCCCCTCACTGTGCCTTTCCCTTCACGGCGCCTTTCCCCTCACGGTGCCTTTCCCTTCACGGCGCTTTTCCCCTCACTGTGCCCTTCCCTTCACGGCTCCGTTCCCCTCACTGTGTCTTTCCCCTCACGGCTCTGTTCCCCTCACTGTGTCTTTCCCCTCACGGTGCCTTTCCCTTCACGGCGCCTTTCCCCTCACGGCTCTGTTCCCCTCACGGCTCCGTTCCCCTCACGGCTCCGTTCCCCTCACAGCTTCTCTTCCCTCAGGGCGCTGTGAGAGGCCCACGAGCGAGAACAGCTCCGGGCGGGGACATTTGAGGGAAATTCCCGCTTTTCTCCACGCCCCTTCCCGCTCCCGGTTTGGGGTTTTTCGGCAGGAAAAGGAAATGCTGAGCTTGAGAAGGGTTTAAGGGGTAAAAGGAGCCCTAAGGGAGGGCAATGGGAATGGCTGGAAATGCAGGGACGGAGGAGCGCTGTGGGAATGCCCTGGCTGAGGCAGCGGAATAGCGGGAATTGGGAAATTTCGTTTTCCAGACTGCTGGAGTTGGAGCCAGGAGCTCAGTTAAGTTCTAGGAGAGCTCCCTAGCATCACTGAATCAACAAAATAGTGGGAATGAAGGAATTTCATTTTCCAGCCTATTAGAATGGGATCCAGGATCTCAATTTTAGGTGTTCCAGCTGCCTGGAATTGCAGCTTTACCTTCACCGACTCCAGAAAATACTGGGAATTAGAGATTCCATGCTCATGTTGTCCCAAAATTAAATTAGGATGGTGTTGGCAAAATCTCTTCATAGATAAATTACAATTATCAGTAAAATAAATTATGATTTTACTGGAATTTTTGTGTTTAAAATCATTTTATCAGAGATTATCCATGGAATTTATTCCTCTTATTTCCCACCTCGCCCTGACAAACCTTAAAAGCAGCAGAATTTCCAAAGCATGGAGAGAAATATTTAATGGAAAATCAAAATAAAAAGGATATAAAATCTTTTATCCAAGGAATTTAATAAAAACATCAAATAAAGAGCAGGAAAAGGGAAAGAGGGACAGCAATTACTGTATTTACATTATATTAAGAATAAATTTAATCAAATAAAACATCTCAGATTTTCAGGAATTCTTTCCCAAAGAGGGGTTTTTCCCAGGAAAGATGGAAGCAGAGGGAAAAAATCAATTTTATTTGGGAAAGAGCTCACCCAAAGCCTGGAATTTCCCCCAAATCATCATCAGCAGCTCATTAACAGCATTAATTAGCATAGAGCTCATTAATTTTAGCAGTGAATATTAATTAAGCAGCCATCAAACTCCATGGGAACTCCCACTGCTCTGTCCAACAGCTTAAATTCCAAAAAAACCTTCCCAGTTGTTTGATTTTTGACTAAAATCTGATATTTTAAAGCCATGATCTCCCATTCCCAGTGCAGATGTCAACAAAACAATGTCATTTTAATATTAATTTAATCTTAATTAATGTTATTTTATTTTTTAAAATTAATTCCGAAAAGGTTTTCTGTAACATTTTAAATAAATTCTTCCCCACAGCTCCCTGAAAAATTCCATTAAATTCCCAACAACTCTTCAGGAAGCTGAGAAAAACACTGGAATTGAGTGTGGATATTCCCAGGAGGTCAAACATTCCTTGGAACCACCAAAATTCCCAAAACCCAACCTTTATTTGGGATTCCCTGGATCAGCAGCTGAAGGAAACCAGGGAATATTCCAAGATCCTCCCACCCAAAATTCCAGCTGGCTTCAACACCCCCAAACCAAGGAGCAGAACTACCTGAATCCAGGAATTCCCACCATTTTTCCTGCAGGAAAATCCTCTCCAAGGAGCGGGGACGGACGGAAAATCGGGAATCCGCGACCACCAATTCCCGCTGCTCGGCTGAATCCTTTTTCCCTGGGATTTTGGTTTTTTTTGGAGGGGGTGGTTGGGAGCGGAACAGAAAGTTCTGGAAAGGGGGAGGAGGAGGGAGCTCAGAACTCCTCGTGGACGTTGCGGGCGTAATCCATGAGTTTGCTGCCCGTGAAGTACTCGCTGTACTTGAGGATCTCCTCCAGCTCCAGGTGGTGGTTCTGGTTCTCGTCGGCCACGGCGATCATCTGCCGCGCCTCGTTCAGCGCGTTGTGCTCGTTCATGGGGTCCATGTACTCCTGAAAATACCATGGCAAACCTGAGCACGGCACAACCGAGCACGGCAACACGGCCTGAGCACGGCACAACCGAGCACGGCAACACGGTGAGCACGGCACAACCGAGCACGGCAACACGGCCTGAGCACGGCACAACCGAGCACGGCAAAACTGAGCACGGCACAACTGAGCACGGCAACACAGCCTGAGCATGGCAAACCTGAGCATGGCAACACGGCCTGAGCACGGCACAACCGAGCACGGCACAACGGCCTGAGCACGGCAAACCTGAGCACGGCACAACCGAGCACGGCAACACGGCCTGAGCATGGCAAACCTGAGCACGGCACAACCGAGCACGGCAACATGGTGAGCACGGCACAACTGAGCACGGCACCACGGCCTGAGCACGGCACAACCGAGCACGGCACAACCGAGCACGGCACAACCGAGCATGGCACAACCGAGCATGGCAAACCTGAGCATGGCACAACCGAGCACGGCACAACCGAGCACGGCACAACCGAGCACGGCACAACCGAGCACGGCCCAGGCTGCTCCCACAGCCCCAACAACTCCTGCCCCGGCCCAAAGCAGGGACAGGGTCTGTAACAAGGGTTTCATGGGGTTTTACTGGTTTCTAGGCTGCTACCAAAAAAATCAAAGATTTCTGTGGGTCATTCAATGAAAAATTTCTGGATTTTGGGCTGCAAATTAAACTCGGGAAAAAATTCCTGTTAAAAATGAAGGATTATCAATTTTCAGGACCTAAATTCTCTCACTTTTCCCTGCTTTGTTTGGCTGTTCCCACAGATTATTTTAAAATGAAAAGAACATGAAATTAAAATGCAATTAACACGAAATTAAAATTAAATGGAAATACTCAATTTTTTAATAAAAAAATGAGCTGAAAGTGAATTTGTGATGTTTTTAGAGCCGTGTTTTGGAATAACTGGCTGGCAAAGGACGAGGACCCACCTCCAGCTCCTCCATGGTGACGATGCCGTCGCGGTTGGCGTCGATGACCTCCTGGAACTCCTTCCTCCTGTCCCTCACCCAGTCATCGTCGATGTCCTGAGCCTGCTGGTTCTCCACCGTGCCCACGGGCAGGGAGATGAACTCTGACAGGGTCAGCTTCTTATCCCCATCCTGATCTGGGAAAAGCACACACGTTACAACAGATTCCCTTCATTCCCGTCAAAAACCACAAAAAATTAAAACACCTTCATTTCATTCCCATGAAAATGGGTATTTCCTACTGAGCTGTGAAAAAACCAAACCCCTCCCAATACCCACAGACAAATGGGAATCCATGGAACTCCACCAGACTATTCCATCCCAAAATCCACATAAAAAATGAGAATCCATGGAATCCATGGACAGAATTCCCAGGCCAGCCCCACTTACCGAGGTCACGGACGATCTCCTGCACCATGAAGTGCAGCATGCCCCAAATACCCAAATACAAATGGGAATCCATGGACAGAATTCCCGGCCCAGCCCCACTTACCGAGGTCGCGGACGATCTCCTGCACCATGAAGTGCAGCATGCCCCAAATACCCAAATACAAATGGGAATCCATGGAATCCATGGACAGAATTCCCAGGAAAGCCCAGCTTACCGAGGTCGCGGACGATCTCCTGCACCATGAAGTGCAGCATGCCCCAAATATCCAAATACAAATGGGAATCAAGGACAGAATTCCCAGGAAAGCCCATCTTACCGAGGTCACGGACGATCTCCTGCACCATGAAGTGCAGCATGCCCCAAATATCCAAATACAAATGGGAATCCATGGAATCAAGGACAGAATTCCCAGGAAAGCCCAGCTTACCGAGGTCACGGACGATCTCCTGCACCATGAAGTGCAGCATGCCCCAAATACCCAAATACAAATGGGAATCCATGGAATCCATGGACAGAATTCCCAGGCCAGCCCCACTTACCGAGGTCGCGGACGATCTCCTGCACCATGAAGTGCAGCATGCCCCAAATACCCAAATACAAATGGGAATCCATGGATAGAATTCCCAGGAAAGCCCAGCTTACCGAGGTCACGGACGATCTCCTGCACCATGAAGTGCAGCATGCCCCAAATATCCAAATACAAATGGGAATCCATGGAATCCATGGACAGAATTCCCAGGAAAGCCCATCTTACCGAGGTCACGGACGATCTCCTGCACCATGAAGTGCAGCATGCCCCAAATATCCAAATACAAATGGGAATCCATGGACAGAATTCCCAGGAAAGCCCAGCTTACCGAGGTCACGGACGATCTCCTGCACCATGAAGTGCAGCATGCCGCGGCTGTGCTCGGGGTGCAGGAAGGACAGGAACTCCTGCTCGCTCAGCAGCAGGTCCGGGGGGGGATTGTCCGCCTGGTACCAGCGATCCTTCAGATTGTCCAGCACTTCCTGCGCTGCAACGGCACCGCGGGGCTGGGATGGTGTCCCAGGGCTCAGCCCAAACCCAAACCTTTGGGATTGGAACTCATCCCAAACCTGCACCTGCACCTCTGGGATTGGAACTCATCCCAAACCCTGCACCTCTGGAATCACAGCTCATCCCAAACCCTGCACCTCTGGGACTGCAGCTCATCCCAAACCCTGCAATGGCACCGCGGGGCTGGCACGGCGTCCCAGGGCTCAGCCCAAACCCAAACCTGCACCCACATGTCTGGGATCACAGCTCATCCCAAACCTGCACCTTTGGGATTGCAGCTCGTCCCAAACCCTGCACCTCTGGAATCACAGCTCATCCCAAACCCTGCACCTTTGGGATTGCAGCTCGTCCCAAACCCTGCACCTGCACATTTGGGATCACAGCTCATCCCAAAGGCTGCAAATGCCCCCATCCATTTCTGGGATTTCACACATTTCATCCCAAAGGCTGAAATTCCCCCATCCCTTTGTGGGATTTGGCACGATCACTTTGGGGGATTTCAGTTCATCCCAAGTGCTAGAGCTGCTCCCATCCATTTTTAAGATCTGGGACAATGAATTTGAAGGATTTCAGTTGGCACAATTCATCCCAAAGGCTGCAATTGCCCCCATCCATTTTTGGGATTTGGCACAACCAAGTTTTAGAAATTTCAGTTGTCCCAATCCACTTGTAGGTTTTCCATTGTACCAACCCATTTTTAAGACTCCAACTATCACAATCTATTTTTAGGATTTAAATTGTCACAATTTTTAGGATTTCAGTTGTCCCAATCCATTTTTAGGATTTAATCTGTCACAATTTTTAGGATTTCAGTTGTCCCAATCCATTTTTAGGATTTAAATTGTCACAATTTTTAGGATTTCAGCTGTCCCAATCCATTTTTAGGATTTAATCTGTCACAACCCCTTCCTTTCAAGCTCTCAGTTGTTTCATCAATGACTTTTTTAAGCTTAAACCCTGCAGATTTTTATCACAATATTCCGTATTTTTGCTGCAAGAAAAGTTGAATTAGGAGTGTATGAACAGAAAAATCAACACCAAAATCCCATGGAATTCCTTCATTTCACCCCACAATCCAATTATCTGCCAATATCCATCAATTCATTAAAACACAATTTCAGCCTGAAATCCAAATTTCTGCAGAAAGTGCCTTAAACTCCGCACCCTCAGGTGCTTTTGATTTAAAATAAAAAACCCAAAAATCACTTTTAGGGTGCTTGGAGGAGGAGAAAACCCCCGAGGAAGTGGAGGATTTGAATAATTTGATTTTCCTGCAGAAGGTTCTGGGGCTCAGGTGCAGCCTCGGGGCTGACTCAGCAGCTCTGGGCTTCCTGCAAGCAGCCCCAGGTGATTTCCCTGCACATTCTCAGCTCCTTTGCTGCCCTTCGGGCGTTTCTGCAGCCTGGAAAATGTCACCAAAGCAAACTGGAAATGACTCAGCCCTGCAGGGAAAGGGAAAGGTGCAGGGGGATTTTACAGGAAACTGAGATGTTGCTTGGAGGGGAAAAACAGGAAAATTCCTCCCAAAAACTGCAACTTTCATGGCAGATGCTGGTCAGGAACAATGTGGGATTTGTGCCTGCTGACTTCAGTTTTTGGGGGGATTTTCAAGTAAATCCAAATTTATTTCAGGGGGAAAATGGGGAGATTGCCATTAAAAGTTGCAATTTTCATGGCAGATTCTGGTTAGGATTAATGAAGGATTTGTGTCTTTTGACTTCACTTTTTGTGGGGATTTTAGAATAAATTTAAATATTTCTTTAAGGGAAAACCAAGAAGATTCCTCTAAAAAATGTCATTTTCACACCAAATTTCAGGTGGAAAAAAAGCAGATTTTTTTTTTGTTATTATTATTTAAGGGGAAAACAGAAGATTCCTCAAAAAAAAAAGTCTCATTTTCACAGCACATTTTACATTAAAAACTGCAGAATTTTTGGTTTATTGTTTAACTCCTCCTCAGGCAGAACCACCCAAACATTTCCCTCCCATTTCCATTCTCACCCCCAGGTTTTAACACCAAAACCCCAGTTCTGCACTTACTTTCTTCATCTATTTTCAACTCCTCGTTGTTTTTGATTTTCTCTGCAATTTCCTTTTCATTGAAGCCTTTGCTTGCCAAGAATTTAATTTTATATTCATCCCAAGAAACGTGACCTGGAATTGAGAACATTTCAACTGAAATGAGGAATTTTGGATTGCATTCTTTCAAAATCAGCAAATTTTCAGGTGTTTTAGTCCAACACCACAACCCCACACTGAATTTTAGGAATGACAACATGAAAGCTGCCACCTGATTCATTTTTGGGGTTTTTTAGCCATAAAATTTGGTGAAAAATTCCATTTATTCTTTTTTTTTAAATTCATTTCTGAAATAAAGAGCTGCCTGCAGCACGTCCTTTCCCACAAAAATCCGAATTTGGGATTCCAGACCCAAATTTGATCTCACAAGTAAATTCTAGGTGCCAGAGCTGCCTTTAGAAGTGATTTTTGAGGACAAACTGTGGATGTTACCATCTCCATCAGGATCCACAGCCCTGAAGTGCATTTTGTTCTCCTGCACAGCCTCCTGGAAGTGCTCATCTGTTTTCTCCATGATCCAGCGCTGCATTTCCTTGGCACTGATCTTTTGATCATTATTTATATCCACCCTAGGGAGGAAAATAAACAGGATTTCAGTTCAGAGCTCAGCAGGGAAAGCTCTGCCTGGGCTTTGGTTTCTAAATTGGTTTATTCAGCAAAAATGCCCAGAAAAAGGAATATTTTTGACTCTGTGAGAAACAAGTGAAAGCTCAGCCTTTAGCTCAGAATTGAAGTAAATAATTTCATTAATTTACGTTAATTTAGCAAGATTTAGGTTATTACTCAGTGAATTTTCTTTAATTAAATCATGTTTTGGAGGGAATTTTTCCCACAAATCATTCCTGATGGAATTTTGGGTCACTCCAAATTCAGAATTGGAAAAATTTGCTTCCAGACCTTGAATTCTCTCTCAATTTCTCTTTCCAAGCCCTTTTTTCACATTTCACTGAATTTTTATTTTTGACCATTGCACATCTCTTTGTTCTCCACGAGATTTCTGGAATTTCTTGGATTCAGAGCTGCAGAATTCAATTTTTCCTGATTGAAATTATCAGGAAAACCCAATCTGATCAATCCTTAATTCATGAAGAAATTAATTTAAAAATTACAGTTCAAAACCAAAAATTAATCAAAATTTCTGAAGGGTTTTATTTTTTGAGCATGAAATAAATATTCCAAGTATCACTAAAAATCAGATTTTATTTTGTTAACATTTCAAATTCTATTTAAAGCATCTCCAACCCACTCTCTGTAATTCAAAATGTCACTAAAAATCAGATTTTATTTTGTTACCACTTCAAATTCTATTTAAAGCTCCTCAAAAACATTTTTTTCAAAACTCAGAGAAAAACCAGAGTTTCAAAGCCCCAGTTTGCCTCTGGCCTTTATCTGCTGCCATCACTGAGTTGTTTTGATTGAAACTTGAATTATTCAAGATATGATTTGCCTTGAAATGTCAACTAAATATGAAAAAAGAGATAAACAACCCCAAAAATGCAGATTTAGGGAGTTTCAATATCACAATTTCTACCAGGGAGATGCTTTTATCATTCATTTATTATTTATTCAATAATTACTTTAATGAAATTTCTTTGTTCCTGGCGAGTTGGCACCAAACAAAGCTTTGAGAGTTTCTGCCCCTTGTGGTGTTGATTGGAGGCGTTGTCATTAAAAATGCAAATAAAGCCAACTCTGCCACCTGGTGTTCGACAGGGCTGAGACAAAGCCAAAACCGCGGAATTGTGAAAATATTAATGAAAAATCCCAAGTTTGAAATGTCCACATTCCCAGTTTTGAAATGTGAGTTAAAATATCCAATTTTTAAAATGTGACTTAAGTTTCCCCATTTTAAATATTAAAATTATCAAATTTAAAATGCGAATTGAAATCTCCAATTTTGAAATATTGATTCCAATTTCCATGTTTGAAATATCAATTAAAATCCCTAATTTTGAAAATATTAATTTAAACCCCCAATTTTGAAAACATTAAAATTCCCAATTTCAATAAATATGCATTCAAATTTCCAATTTAGAACTATTAAAATCCCTCATTTCGAAGCCACTAATTTAAATTCCCAAGTTTACAGCATTAATTCAACTTTTCAATTTGGAACTATTCAAACCCTTCATTTCGAAGCTACTCATTTAAATTCCCGATTTTTAAACATGAATTCAAATTTCCAGTTTTGAACTATTAAACCTCCCATCTTCAAACCCACCAAAATTCCCAATTTTGTGGGGTTTTTTTGGCCCATTCTTCTCATTCACATTCTCTAGATAAAAACCCCTTGCCCGGGATTTTCCTCCCTGGCAGCTGAGGAAAGACAAACAATTCCTATTCCATGGTGCTGAGTTGTGCTGCTCTGGGGTGTGTGTGGGGATCGTTTCACTGCTGATTAAATCTGTGGCCATTGCAGGAGCAGGAGCCTCCTCCTCCTCGTCCTTGTCCTCCTCCTCATCCTCCTCCTCCTGCTCCTGCTCCTCCTGGTCCTGCTCCTCCTCCTCCTGCTCCTGCTCCAGGTCTCCCAAGCTCCTGGAGGTTTCCCTCACACCAGGGCAGCTCAGCCACCTTTGGAGCGTTAGAAACAAAAAGGTTTTAACCAAGGCAAAATAACAAAAATTTTAGAGAGAAAAACCAAACCAGGGGCAGGAGGCCCCAGGGGCTGCCCCGGTAAACACCTCCCAGCAGTGACTGCTTTGTGTCCTCTCTTCCTTTCCTCCCAGCAGTGACTGGTTTGTGTCCCCTTCTTTTCCTCCCAACAGTGATTGGTTTGTGTCCTCTCTTCCTTTCCTCCCAACAGTGATTGCTTCCTTTATTCTCTTCCTTTCCTCCCAACAGTGATTGCTTCCTTTGTTCTCTTCCTTTCCTCCCAGCAGTGATTGGTTTCTTCTCTTCCTTTCCTCCCAACAGTGATTGGTTTCTTTGTTCTCTTCCTTTCCTCCCAACAGTGATTGGTTTGTGTCTTCTCTTCCTTTCCTCCCAACAGTGATTGGTTTGTGTCCTCTCTTCCTCTCCTCCCAGCAGTGACTGGTTTGTCTCTGTTCTCTTCCTTTCCTCCCAACAGTGACTGGTTTGTCTCTGTTCTCTTCCTTTCCTCCCAACAGTGACTGGTTTGTCTCTGTTCTCTTCCTTTCCTCCCAACAGTGATTGGTTTCTTCTCTTCTTTTCCTCCCAACAGTGACTGGTTTCTCTGTTCTCTTCCCTTCCTCCCAGCAGTGATTGGTTTCTTTGTTCTCTTCCCTTCCTCCCAGCAGTGATTGCTTCCTTTATTCTCTTCCTTTCCTCCCAACAATGATTGCTTTCTTTGTTCTCTTCCTTCCAAACAGTGATTGGTTTCTTTCCTCTCTTCTTTTTCTAGGAAATTGCCCAGGCAGGTTTTTTTTGCTTCTGTCCATCCTTAATTTGAGGTGGTGAGGGTGTCAGGCTGTGTTCTGACCCTGTCAGTGTTGTTTTAGTTTCCTGCATTGTTTATTTTAGCCTTTGATTTTCTTCCCTGTTATTTCCTGCTCCCATAAATTTTTGTTGCCTGAGAGCCCCTTAATTTAAAATTTATAGCAATTCAGGGGGGGTGTGGGTGTTCTCAGGGCTCCCAGAATGAGGGAAGAGATCAGAATCTTGACTCCATGCTTCAGAAGGCTGATTTATTATTTTATGATATATATTATATTAAAAGAAAATATATATTATATAAAAATAAAATAATTTTTATATTTTACTATATATACTAGAGTAATATATGTATCATTTTATATATCTATTATTATATATAATTTTATATATAATATAATTATTTTATATATATAATATATAAGAATATACTATATAAAACTATATATAATTTTATATAGTATATTAAAACTATACTAAAAGAGTAGAAGAAAATTTTCATCAGAAGGCTTGCAAGGAATAGAAAGAAATGATAATAAAATCTTGTGACTGACCAGAGTCCAAGACAGTTGGACTGTGATTGGCCATGAATTAAAAACAACCACATGAGACCAATCCCAGATGCACCTGTTGCATTCCACAGCAGCATATTTATAATTATTGTTTATATTTCATTTCTGAGGCTTCTCAGGAGAAAACATCCTAACAAAAGGATTTTTCATAAAGCATGTCCATGACATGAGGGGGTTCGTTTTCTCCGTTTCAGGGGAGGCTCCTGCCTTCCCTAACCAAGGGTTTATTTTTATTATACATTACAAAATGAGCCTCGTGAGGGCCTGGGGCTGGGTGCACCTGCCTGCAGCCCAAGCACAGCCGTGACTCACTTGGAGAAGATGCCCACGAGCTTCCTCCTGTTCCTGCGGGGCTGCGAGTCCTCCTCGAACTCCTCGCGCTCCTTGCCCAGGAACACCTCCTGGTGGAACTCCTTGTTCAGGTGCCCGTCCAGCTCCATCTTGACGCCGTTCAGGTGGTCGGGGGGCAGGATCTCGTTCTCCTCCCGGGCCTCCCCTGCCCGCTCCTTCAGCACGGAGTGGTTGGCAGGCCTGGCATAAACGTCCATCAGGAGGAAGATGAACAGGAGGGACAAGTACAGAGAGCCCAAGCTGCACAGGAAAGCTTGTCTTGACATCATTTTTATGTTTTTTTTTTTTCCTTTTTTATTATTTATTGGCTGCTGAAATCACTGTGGGGTCTAAAAGAAAAAAAGGAGAAAAAACAAATTAAACTGAAGCAAAAGGTCACTGTGGGTTAAATGAACTAAAAGGAAAAGAGGAGAAAAACCAAGTTAAACTCTGAAGAAAGAGGTCATAATTGAACATATAAAAATTAAAATAACCTATGCAAAGTATTAATAACTTACATACATATAATTATATGTGCGTAACTTATTTATATACACATAAGTACATAAGTCATTTATATACATACAAACATATGCACATAACTTATTCATATACATACATATATATGTATACCTATACATATGTTTATATGTATACTTTAATATATACGTATATATATTAAAGTATATATATACAAATGTATATATAGATACTTGTATATATACACAAGTGTCTATATAGATACTTGTAAATATACACACAAGAATAAATTCAGAGGAACCTACACAAAAATAGAGGAGTTTTTGATGTCAGACATTAAAAGGACCTGTTAATTAATAAATTTATGCAATTAATAGGAGCAGATCCAAGAAAAAGCGGAGCTGGAAACACCCAGGAAACAGCGGCGGGGAGGAGCTGTCACAGAGCCATAAAATCCGAGTGTCCCCCCTGTGGAAGTGACCCCCAGGAGCCATCCCGCTCAATTCCAAGGAAAAATAATCCCAAATCTAACAGAGAACGCACCAAGGAACCCAAAACCCCCCAAAGCCCTCAGAGCCCCCAGAGCCCCTCGGAGCCCTCAGAGCCCTCCACGATCCCCGCGGGGCTGCGGGAGGAGCCGCCCGCACTCACCGGGAGGCGCTGGGCAGGGAGCGACCGCTGCCCCGAGCGCCGTGCCGGCCGCGGGGAGGCCCAGCCCGAGCCCGGCCGCCGCTGAGGCCCTCACGGCCCCTGACGGAGCCCGGCGCTGCCAGGCCCGAGGGAGGCGGGATGGAGGCGGAAGTTTCCTCACTGCGCCGCGCGGCGGGAAGGCGCGGCCGCCATCTTAGGTGAGGGCAGCCGCCATTTCCGGCAGAGTGAGGGGCAAAGGGGCGTTTTCCGGGGGGTCCTGTCATTATCTCGGTTGTTAACATGTTGATCTCCTCCTGCTTCCTGGCTCTGTGTGTGTGGCCGTTTTCTTTGAATTATGAAATGGTTTGGGTTAGGGACCTTAAATAGAATCTAATGCAAACCCCTGCCCCAGCTGTGACTGCCTATCCCTGGAAATGCTCAATGCTGAGGCTTGGAGCAACCTGGGATAGTGGAAGGTGTCCCTGCCCATGGCGGGGGGTGGCACTGGATGGGCTTTGAGCCCATCCCAACCTTTTCCCATTCCATGATTCCATGAAGAAGGCACGGCCAAGGCGCAGTGCCCAAACCCAAGATGGCGCCTCCTCGGCCTCACATGCCCTACTCAAAGATGGCGGCCACAGCGTCAGGCGCTGCGGCCTCCGCCCTTCTTCCCGCCCCTTGCCCCGGTGCGAGAACCGCCGGAGCCGCGGCAGGAGTAGGGACGGAACCGCCGCTTCCCCGAGGAGAAGGCGGAAAGCGCGGGAGAGCCATGAAACCACCGCAGCGCGGAGGCGGCACTCAGTGAGCGCTCCCGCAGAAAGCCTGTCCCCTCCCGGCGGCCGTACCGCCGTTCCCGCCTAAACGGGGCGGGCGTGGCGGCGGTGCCGCCGTGAGGGGCCCCGCGGCCATGAAGGCGCTGCGGCGGCTGAGCCGGCACCGCACCGCGCTGGGGCTCGGCGGGCTCTCGCTCTGCGCCGCCGTCCTGCTCTATCTCGCCAAGTGCACCTCCGAGGGGCTGCGCCCGCTGCCCGCGCCCCCCGCGCTCCCACACAGCCAGCCCGGCTGGGGGGCCCGCGCCGCGCCCCCGGCCGGCCCCGAGGGCAGCGCCTTCGTGGCCGTGGTGGTGATGAGCGGCCCCAAGTACAGCGAGCGGCGCAGCATCATCCGCAGCACCTGGATGGCCGCGGCGCGGCAGGCGCCTCACGGCCACGTCTGGAGCCGCTTCGTGGTGGGCACGGCGGGGCTGAGCGCCGAGGAGCTGCGGAGCCTGGAGCTGGAGCAGAGCCGCCACCGCGACCTGCTGCTGCTGCCCGAGCTGCGCGACTCCTACGAGAACCTCACGGCCAAGGTGCTGGCCACCTACGTGTGGCTGGACGCGCACCTGGACTTCCAGTTCGCCCTCAAGGCGGACGACGACACCTTCGTGCGCTTGGACGTGCTGGTGGAGGAGCTGAGGGCCAAGGAGCCGCGGCGCCTCTACTGGGGCTTCTTCTCGGGCCGCGGGCGGGTGAAATCCGGGGGGAAGTGGAAGGAGAGCGCCTGGCTGCTGTGCGATTATTACCTGCCCTACGCGCTGGGCGGCGGCTACGTGATCTCCGCCGACCTGGTGCGCTACCTGCGCCTCAGCAGGGACTACCTGAACCTGTGGCAGAGCGAGGACGTGTCCCTGGGCGTGTGGCTGGCGCCCATCGACGTGAAGAGAGTGCACGACCCCCGCTTCGACACCGAGTACAAATCGCGCGGCTGCAGCAACAAATACATCGTGACTCACAAGCAGAGCATCGAGGACATGCTGGAGAAGCACCAGACGCTGGCCAAGGAAGGGAAGCTCTGTAAGGAGGAGGTGAAGCTCAGGCTTTCCTACATGTACGACTGGGGAGTGCCTCCCTCGCAGTGCTGCCAGAGGAAGGACGGCATCCCCTGAAGGCCTCGGGAAGAGGCCTCGCGATGGTGGACTCTGGTTGCTGTTACACGGGGAGAATCCCATGCAAATGGAATTCTTGCCTCAGTTTCTCCCTCAGAACATTGGGCCCAAGGCTTTGGGATGCAGGCATGGCTGGATGTAGGGAAGAGCAGAATCCTGGGATCTCCCACTCCACATCCAAGGACAGACCTCCCAAATCCCAGCCCGGTGCTGTGAATCCATAATTCCAGCAGAACTGAGTGGGAAGAGCTGATAAAATGGAATTATTGCCTCAGTTTCTCCCTCAGAACATTGGGAACAAATGATTCCCCTCAGGCACCGATCCCAAAGGCTTTGGGATGCAGGCCTGGCTGGATTTAGGGAAGAGCAGCTAATTGGACTCAGGGTTAATTACTCTTAGAAAGATTTTGCACGACTCATTCTGTCACCCTGACACTCCCTGAGAGCTGCTGACGTGGCATGGTTAAAGATGCTTAAAAAATAAAATAAAATAAAACAAGTGCCAGAAAGCACAGCAAAAGGTCAAATGCCAGGATTAAAGGCAAATAAAAGGTGTCAAAACACAAAAAGTAGAGAAAAGGGGGGGAGAGAACTGGAATGAAAAGTTGGATCAGATTCTGAGGTTGGTTTGCTAAAGGTCACGCTAAGTTTTGGTGCTGATAAGGCTAAAATGAGGCTGCTGTTTATTCCTTGGCAAGGAAAGGCCAGTTTGGCAAGGAGGGAAGAGCCCAAAGTGGGAGCAGAGGATTCCAGAGGGTGGGAACAGGGATCGGCTTTTCCTGGGACAGCTGCAGGGAGAGGTGCTCAGGGCCGGGGCAATTCCCCCCTCTCTCCACACATTCACTGAATTCATTGTCAGTGGCAGGTCCAGAACGGGGCTGTTCCCAGTCCTGCCTCCCGCAGCCTCGGGCACGATTGCTTTGGGTTCGGGTTAGGGTTAGGGTTAGGGTTAGGGTTAGGGTTAGGAATTCTGGAATTCCCACATTCTCCAGGGGCAGCTGCTCCAGAGCTCCCCCAGTGCCCCGTGCCAGCTGCAGCCCCTGCAGCGTGGCCAGGTTTTACTTTGGAAATGTAAAATTGCATTTCTTAAACGTCTTTTTGGTGAGGTTTTTTGGGTTTTTTGTGTTTGTTGCACTCTGCACTTTCATTCCCATTCCTTTCCCTCCTTCCCAGCTCTGGCTGCAAGAGACAAATGGCACAGAAAAATTGAAAATTAAAAAAGTGCCAATTTCTCTTTCTTGTTGCTTAGCAAAATTAGGAATTTTAGGAATTAGGAAAACCAAAGGGATCAGTTCCATTGGAATTTTATTTTTTTGTTATTCTTGTTTTAATTAATTATTTACTGAAGATCAAAAATCTTCAGAAGATTTTTTTTATTTTGAAATTTTCAAGGCTTTTTTTCCTAAAACAAAACTAAAATCCTGCAAAAACTCAATTATTTTAGCATGTTGAACTCAATTATTATAATTATTATTCTAATAATTATAGTTATTATTATAATGCATGCATAGGGATTACCAAGGAGTACTTTTCCCCACATATCCTATTCCAAAGCAGGAATTTTCCAGGATGTCAGCAACTCCCAGTTTTTTAAACATCCATTTGCCATCTGAGGTTCATCAGTGTTGTCTGTGTCGTGATAAATTACCTGTAATGTGAATATTTATTTATAATTCTATTTATTTATAATTCTTGCCAGTGTATTCTCTTTATTTTCCCAGAAAAAATACAAATAAATCAATTTATTCCCAGAATAACATCCATTTTCCCATTATTTTATCCACCTTTACCCTTTTGTCCCAGGAAAATTACAAATAAATCCATTTATCCCCGTCATAACTTCTATTTTCTCATTATTTTATCCCACTCAGCCTTTTTTCCCTGGAAAATTACAAATAAATCAATTTATTCCCATCAAAACATAGATGTTCCTATTATTTTATCCATCTGACCTTTTTTCTCAGGAAGATGCCAGATAAATCCATTTATTCCCAGAATAACATCCATTTTCCCATTATTTTATCCACCTTTCCCCTTTATTTTCCCTGAAAATTCCACCTGGGAAGCAAAATCAGGTGAGGATGAGGCCAAATTATTTTAAAAGAAATTTTCCCTCCTTGATTTCCCTGGAATCTTTAATCCTCAGCATTCCAAGATTTTTAAAATCAATTTTCCTCCAAATTTCAAACATTCCACCCTCAAACAGCTCAGGCTTCCCTCAGCAATGAAAAGAAACTGATTTTCCCATAAATAATTTGGGATAACTTCGGGGTTTTGCTGTTGAAGCCAAGGGACCCTTTGGGAATTTATTCCCGGATTTTTTTGCCTGTCCCAGGCAGTCGCTAGAGGTCCCTCCAGGCCTTTGGAAGTGTGAATTCCTTAAAACAAAAATAAAAAGGAATTCATTTAAAACCAGAGGTTTGTGACTAAAATCGGGTGGTGGGCTCTGACTTTAACATAAAATAATCGGGGAAAAAGGGAAAGGAGTTTTCCACTAAAAAAATGGAATTATGGGGGAATTACTGAGGATGGAGGCGCCGTGTTTTTCCATGGAATCCATGGAAAATTGGTGTGGAAAGCTAAAGAGAAACGTTTGAAGAGGTCCCTAAAATACAGGAAAATTAATTAAATTATTGACATTTAATTAAAATAATGAAAACCATTCCTGGATTTTTTTAAAGGAACAACTCAACCCAAAATCCCAGTCCCTGTGTCCCCTTTTAATCAGGAATTTTTGGTGTTTCCTCAGCTGAAAATTCCATGGATTTGAGCTGGGAAATTTCATTTTCCAAAGGAATTTCCAAAGGATTTTAATTCCCAAACCTGTTCATGTGGGACCCCTGCTCCAATTTTTGGGGTGATTAAAAACCATGATTTAAATTAAAAATTCTTATTAAAAATTATTAAAAATTTACTCACACTCCAGGAGTTTCCCAGGGGACTTTTTGTGGGACTGGGAGCTGATTCCTCTTTTCAACAGGAAAATTCACCTGGATTAGATGCTGGAATTAAGGGGAAAATTAGAATTTTCTTTCATTTGAGGAACATCTCCTCATGGAAAAACATGGAAAAAGGTGGGAACAAGTGGAAAAATATGGAAAAATCTGGACACTGCTCCAAGTTTTTAGGAAAACTCAGAAATCCATGATCCCACAGATCCAAATGGCTCTGGAGATGCCAAGGCCACCACCAAGATGTCCCCAAAAAGTTGGGAATGAGGCTGAAGAACCTCTGATCATGGAAAACATGGAGAAAATGAGGAATGACCTGGACACCACCCAAGATTTTAGGAAAACTCAGAAATCCACGGATCCAAGGAGCTCTGGGGGTGCCGAGGAGTGCCCGGGAAGCTGGCAAGGAACCTCAAAGCACAAATTCCCTTCTGGTGGTGCCCATCGCCCCCTGCTCCCCCTGCCAGCCAAAACCCCAGCAAGGTGAGCCCTGCTTGTTTCCCACAAGCGGAGCAGCTCCCACAAAGCACAGACCCACGAGGAACAGACAGGCTGGAAAAGGAACAATTCTGATTTTTGAAAAAGGAAAACGTCGCCGTTGCCGCCGGTGATCGATGGCGTTGGGGTGGTGCCAGAGGGCTTGGAATCATCACTGGAGGGAGCGTTTATCCAGAGCTGCTGCTGGCAGGACAACTCCAAATATTTACTTTAGTGTTGATTTTAGGGAAGGACTCGAGCCAGGATTCTGGATCTGGATCTGCCAAAATCCTGATGCTGGAGGTGCTGGGAGCTGGAATTTGGGGCCAATCCTTCTGATCTTATCTTGGGTAATTATTTCTCCTTCTTTCCATGCCCTGATCCCACAAAAATGAGTGTCCTGCTCGCCCTTGGGAATGTGCTGGGCTGGATCCAGGGTGAATCCATGGCTTTGCTAAACTGAAATCCCAGACTGGGATTAATTTTGGAGTTTTTTTGCAGTTTCCTGGGTGATTTTTTCCCTGCTGGGATTTGCAGCTCCTCAGAGTCCAGAGCTCTGCAGATCCTGCTGTCCCTTCCCAAATCCCGCTGTGAAAAACATCGGGAGAATCTTCAGGATTCTCCCAATTTGAGGTGCTGTGCACAACAACTTGGAAAAATTTGAATTATTCTGCTTTTCTTTATCATTCCCTTTAATTCCATAGGGATTCCTGGCTAGGAGGAAATTTTGTGGGATGGGGGTGACTCAGCTGCTCCTTGGAATCTTGGAATTAAAAATCCAGGAAAAGCCTTCCAAGATACAAATCCAAGCATCCACCACTAAACGGTGTCCCCAAGTGCCACATCCAGGGGTTTTTGGGATGGGGATCCATCCCAAATCCCAGCCTGATGCCATAAATCCGTAATTCCAAAGAAACTGGGCAGTAGGACCTGCTAACATGGGATTTTTGCCTCAGTTTCTCCCTCAGAACATTGGGCCCAAGGCTTTGGGATGCAGGCCTGCCTGGACTTAGGGAAGAGCAGAATCTTGGAGTCTCTGGCTCCATATCCAAGGACAAACTTCCCAAATCCCAGCCTGGTGCCATAAATCCATTGTTCCAAGGGAATTTAGTGGGAAGAGCTGCTAAAATGGAATTTTTGCCTCAGTTTCTCCCTCAGAACATTGGGAACAAATCGTTCCTCTCAGGCACTGCTCCCAAAGGCTTCGGGGTGCAGGCCTGGCTGGATTTAGGGAATTGCAGTTAATTGGAGTCAGGATTGCTGGCATCTCCCACTCCACATCCAAGGACAGACTTCCCAAATCCTGACCTGGTGCTGTGGATCCATAATTCCCAGGGGATTTATCAGGAAGAGCTGATAAAATGGAATTCTTGCCTCAGTTTCTCCCTCGGAACATTGGGCCCAAGGCTTTGGGGTGCAGGCCTGGCTGGATTTTGGGAATTCTGCTTATCTCCCACTTTATAAAATTGCAGCCTGGCTCCTGGAAAGCTCCTGGGCTGTGGCTGGGAGGTTTTTGAGGACAGGGAGTGGGATAAGAAAACAATAACCAGGATCCGATTTCTGCGGAGGAGCCAAGGGAGGAGATAATTGGAGTCTCCAAGAGCTGCTGATAAGATCAGCCTCGGTTGCTATTTTCAGGCTCAGACAGCAGGGCTGGAGACACCGAAATAAATCCTAAAACCTGAGCTGCAGGCTCCCAGAGAGCTCTGTCTCCAAGGAAATCCATAAATATTGCAAGGTGTGGGATAGCGGGCCTGGCCTGGCCTGGTTTTCCCTGGGGGCACCTCAGGGGAAGGACTGAGGGGGAAAAGGAGGAATTAAGGAGGAAAATGAGTTTTTGAATTCCAAGAGGGAATTTGAAAACCTGCAATTCCTGCCAGGAAGGAGAAAAGGAATAACCAGAGCCCGGGCCAGGAGGCTGGAAAAGGAATTCCTGAGTGGAGTCAGCATCTCCTGATCCTGGCAGTGCCTCCAGGTGGGACCTCAGGCATCACCTGGAGGAAGAGAAAACAAACCTGGATTAGAAAATTTGGAGAGGGATTGATTCCCAAGCTCAGGCTATTCCCTAATTCCGTGATTCTGGGTGTCCCCGTGTCCCCATTCCTTGAATTATCCCTGATTTCCCTCATGGGGAGCAGGCAGGGCCAACGCTCCCAGGTGGGACTTTGGGGTGTCCTGGGCAGGGATAAGGGTTGGACTCTGATCCCCTGGATCCTCCCAGCTCAGGATATTCCCCATAGGGATGAAAATTCCAGGAAAATGCCCCCATTCCTTGAATGATTCCTGGTTCCCCGCAGCCCTTCCCTGCAATCAGGGAGTGTTTATCCCAGCGCTTCCCTTTCCATGGGAGCTTTTCCATGGCTCTTCCAAGCCTCTGCAGACATCAAACAGCTCATTTCCCTTGGCTTTGGGCCGTGAAATGGGCTGGAACAGCGGCTCCTAAACAACGGCATCAGCAACGCTGAGGGTGATTTAAAAGCCAGAAATTTTGGGGTTTTTTTTCCCCCTCTCCTTTTTTAACGCTTTAAGTCCAACATTTTTCCACAGCTTTGCCCGTTCCCCTCTCTGGCTTTGCAGAGCAGGAAAGGGCAGGCGAGGAAAATACAAAATTCAGGATAGAAACTGGGATGAAATTCTCCTTAAGGCATTCTTGGGATCACCCTGCAGTGCTGGGAACTCACATCCTGCCCTGGTGGTGAATGGGGGATCCTGGTTAAATGGAAATAGGAGGAATTTTTTCCCTATTTTTTCATTTTTCTGGGCAAATCCAGAACAATCCAGAGAAATGAGAATTTTATTGTAGTTGCCCTGGGGAACAACAGCACCCAGGTGGTTTTGAGGATCCTAAAGGGCTTTTCCAACCTTTGATTCCCAAATTCAGCAGGGATTGGGACCCTCAAGAGCACAGCCATGAACCCACCTGGGTTTCCAGCCAGAACTGGGGAGAATTTTAACATTCCTGTGCTTCCCCTTGGACATTTTGGGACTCAACACTGCCTGTCAGAGCTTTTTTCCTCTCATTCCCACAAAGAAGTGGGAATTCAGAGGGAAAATCCTGTGTTTGGGGGCTTGGGCAGGATGTAGAACACAAATTAATGAATTCTTTGTAATTAATAATATAATATCATATATATGATAAGATAATATAATATATGATAATATAAGATATGATAATATATGATAATTCTTTATGTTAATATAGAGAATTTTGCTGGGCAAATTTATGCAGATCCAGCCTCTTCTCCTTTGCTGTTTGCAAGCCAGAATCCCAAAATTCCAATTTTCCATCACTCTGAGATGCGGGATTCTGGCTGGGAAGTGGATTTTACCTCACATTCATCCTCATCATCCCCAGAACAATCTCTGCAGCATCCTCCTCCTCCTCCTCCTCCTCCTGCTGCTGCTGCCTCC